ATTATCGCAAAGCTCAAGTTAAACTAACGATTTGAGGTGAAACAATTGACGACACCCGTCAATTGTTTCGAACTCGGGCTGGCCAATCGGAGCGCAGTTGTCACAGTAATGATATGGCAGAATAGTTTTCAAACAAATTAAATGACATTTCGTCTCTATTCCTGGTTATATACTCGATATATTTTAAGCTACTTCTCGTTCACTACGCTGACCTCCCTGAGAAGTACGAGCAAGAAATTCTAGGGATTGCTCTTTTCAAATAAATTTCATCCGTTAGTTTGCCAGACTTAGAGGTGGAATGTTTTCTTTATGTCAAATTTAAATGGGACCTATACTGAGGTTCCCTCTTTCCAACAAAAAAAGAATCATCGAAATCGTAGTAACATACATACCAAATAAAATACAGTTGAATTGGGAACCTTCTCCTTTTTTAAAGTCGATTAAAACAATATCAATTATTTAACTGGTATCATGACTGTGGCATCACAGTACATTTACTCAAATATTTTGTATGCTCGTAAAAATATACATAATTTCAATAAGAAAAAAGTTATCCATAATATTAACCTTGGAGCTAAGTCCAAACTCATGGTACCACGATTTCGTTTAACCAAGGTAAACAACTCTTTTATGGGGAACTGTATACGTTTTTACAATAAGATTCCGGAGCATATATTAAGTTTAAAAACTACATTAAAAATATTTTGATCGAAAAATCATATTTCAAAATTGAAGACTACGTGTTAGATAAAGACGACATGGCTCCAGAATCCACACAAATTTGATTCAAAGTGTATTCCATAGCATGTAAGTTTATTTGAAAAGAGCAATCCCTAGAGTTTCTTGCTCGTCCTTCTCAGAGAGGTCAGCGTAGTGAACGAGCAGTAGCTTAAATGTGACGATTTCAAGTGTAAATTTATTTTACCTATGGAATAAATAATCTTTGACTTTGACTTATCTTCAGGTATCAAGGCACATCAGTGACCTCACTCTCTACAGACGGTCCTCTGCAGCAATCTGAGCACACGGCACGAATTCAACAATCGTTGGTGGTACATCTACCCATTAAAGTCGACTTTGGGTTCTCATTGGCCAATAAAACCCTTCAGTAAGTTCTTTATTGTAATTTTTAAGTTCATTGAACGCCACAATGTTTTACTGCAATGATGCCTTGTGAAAGAGTTCGTCCAAGGAAGTACTGCCACCTTACCTAATTCTGCCGCCAAGCAGTAAGGTCAGCATTACTGTGTTCCGGTTTAGAAGGGTAGAGGGTGCTGGTGAAATTATAGGCACATTACAAATTATAATATTTTTTTTGTTACAAGAAACGACAGTAAAACTTATTCAACTACAATACCGTCGCTTCTTTTATGAAGAATAATGTAAGCGTGTAATTTTATTCCGCTTTCAAAAAACTATAGTAGCTAAAGGTAATTGGGTTAGAATGTCAAACTATATTTATTATGCAGTGATGATTTTTTTTATTAAAAATAAGTGCACATTTTTCGTCCATCTCACTAGAGGGAAAGATGAGGTCAACGATGTAGCATACACACTTAAATAATGCCTATTCACTCTCGCCTTGAAAAGGTCCAAGTTATAACGTTCGGGAAATACGTCCGCAGGCTGGGAATTCCATTCCTAATTCCTAGCCACCTATATTACTGCCCTGCTAAGCCGAAAAGCGCTATCAAAGTCGGAGTAAGTTTTAAGAAAATCGACTTTTTGTTAATTGTATTTTCGCACCATCAAAAAGAAGATGAAGATTTGAAGATGTTAAAACTTATATTTGACTATTAGATTTATTAACATTTATTTTTATTATAAAGAAAGGTTTCTAAAGTTGAGATATGCAACAAACCTACTTTATTTATTAAACGGCCTTAGTTCCCTAAGAAACCGCTAGATGGCATTGCCCCTTTTGACGTTATTTCTGAATCGCGGTGTTAAGATTTTCCCTCGAATGGTGACTACTCGCACACAATTTTGTTAATGGGAAGAGAAACCTGAGAATACCGAGAGCTCAGTAAGGCAACCAGGAGTTGAGTCCCGGACCCGGACCTTCTGATACTACGTACGCTCATATAGGGTGAACAAACTAAACATGAGGAATAGCGTTACATTTCTATCGCTGTGACTGTCGTTCCGGTTCCAAAAAAATCACGGTAATAAATCACCGTGATTCTGTCACGACTGTTACTTCCGTGACCTTGTCACGCCTATAACTTACGTCACGATATACTGTTTTAGCCAGCGTCGATCCAAGTACTAAGTAATTTAATAAGTTTCAATTCCATTGAAAAAGTTGTTTTTGTATTTATTGTAATTTTGTTTGTTACTTATTTAATGCGAATCTTTGGATTGTTAAAAATAGCAATAAAGTGTAATGTAATTATATTTGTAGTAGAATACGCAAAGTAAATTATAAAATATCAACTCTTCCCATAATAATATAAAAATATTTTACTTTGTTAATAAATAGGTTTATAATAACTGCTGCAGATTTTTTTCATCCGCCCTTTCTAGTAGTAATAAGCACCTTCGACCCTTGTGAGTGAGCAAAGAAAGTCATCCTATTTCATTCACTCCCATTGCCGAATGGCCCGATTTGAAGAGAACTACAACGAGTGGCGCGCTCAGTCACCACGGAACGGAGATCGCGCATTGTATCAAATACGTATGTCGTGATGTGAGTGACGGGGATAGCTATTGGAACGGAGGAACACCTATGTGACTTTGGAACGTCGTTCCTTCGGAACGAGTCACGGTGATTCTGTTTGCGGCGGATCATCGTGATTTTTTCATCGTGACATTATTTATCACCCACCTCTAAGAGAAACCTGAGAATACCGAGAGCTCAGTAAGGCTAACAGGAGTTGAGTCCCTTCTTTGGAACTGCTACCCGGACCTTCTGATACCACGTACGCTCATATATGGTGAAATATTATGGCCCATCATATAGGGTGAATAAACCTAATATCGCGGAACGGTTTCCAGGAGTCAGTCCCTTCTTGGGAACAACTGCCCGGACCTTCCGCATATAAGGTGAAAGTGTATTGGCGACATACAAGGTGAAAAATAAATCTTCTGAACAACAATTTGGAGTTTCACTTGGCTGTATTGGTAACCTCATCCCACGGTAAAGTGAGAACCTCCCTCCTTTATAGATATAAAAATACGTCTTAGTGGTTTTTTAAATGTTTTAATTAGATAGCGCTATTTCTATTGTAATTTATAATTCAATGTGGATCAACAAAAGGTGTTACATAATAGTATTACAGCACATGAACCCTGTTAGGGCACTACAATGTCACTTAACTAAATTAATAACTTAACTAATTTTAAATTTTTATTGAATTGATATTCAATTATTTTTTGTGAAATTACTCCACTAGTTTGTTATAATTATTAATACACATAGAAAAATTCGTGCGGTCCGCTGGTTTGTTCCGTGGCTTAGTTGGTATAGCGTCTGCCACGGTATGCTAGAAGACGTCGGTTCGAATCCGGCGGGATCAAAGGAATTTTTTCTGAGTGTTCGATCTTTGTATTAATAATTATAACTTAACTAATGTTATTACTAATCTCGTACACATGCTATGTCGTTAATTATTACAATTATGAGATATATTATAACCAATTACAAAAATTCATCGCAATAATTAACATTAAAAAGTTAATAATAATAATAATAATTTTTATTTCAGGAATTTAGTCCCATAATACACAATAATAAAATCAGTAATAAAATTAAAATCAATGTAAAACCAAAAATAAAACGTAAAATCAAAATAGTAAAATACAGCAACTAATAAAATTTGTGATTATTATTAAAATTATCAAAATACAAAATTAAATTTGTCAAAAACTAAAATTACTACAATTTTGAAAGATAAAGATATAAAAATAAAATAATGAGATTGTGAAAACAAATAATAATTACATAAACATGCACTCATTTCCTATTCGCACACATTCGTTATCTGAATCACGTACCCTCTGCCAGAAATTGGCGATCCTACATCTAGGCAGGGCGAAAAAATCAGGCACTCCCGCTCCCGCAAACATAGCTGATGCACTGCAACATCTTAATAAATATTTATTTATTACATTGCATTGTATTGCACAGTAAGACCTTAACACTATTACTGTTACGGACGGCCGTACGCGCCTGGCCGATCAGAACTAGAATTTACAGGAAAATGGATAATTCAGGAGCTCTGATTGGCCGAGAGGCGTAGGGACTCATTGATAGGACCGGTACGGTGTACGGATAGCTTCCGAGAAAATAAAGCTGAAAAATATTCATTTAATAAGTCTACACAACTGGGAGAGGTACCTAAATTTGACCCTGGAATGGTAAATTTGACCAAAATCTGTTCAGAAACGCGTTAAATTCCAGTTGAAAAAAATCGATCGCTATATGAATTTTCGCCCGCGGCGTAATCACAAGAACATATCTTGTTTATTTATATCTAATCTATCTGAAATAAATACTAAAAATAGTTTAGAACAAAATTTAAAAAATCATTAAGTATTTTCTGGCCAATTTTCCTATCGTCTGACCATATATTGTTTTAAGGGTTTTGTAATTTTGATTTATGGTTTCAGATTAAAATGGACAAACCCTGCTCAAAATGGCGGCACAGCTATGCATTCACGAACTCAAGTTGCGCTTGACACCCATGAGGGTAACTTCGTTGATACAATCAAAATGAAAACTAAACAAAAGGTATTGTATTATAGTATAAAGGTTTTCAGTTAATTAACTAAAAGTAAACAAACTTCAGCTGTCACTTGCAAACATCGAGTATATAACCAGAAATGGAGACGAAATAAGGGCAATTTATCCTTGGCAACTCAAGGCAAAGGGAACCTTATATCACTTTTAAATATCAACCCTCGTTTGCACTGAAAAATAGCCAGCCGCCAACAACTGACCAGTGTGTACGTCTCCGTATATTCCAAAAATATTCTGTATTTATTGTAATAAAGATATTTCTAACTATGGTATAGTTCCATTCTGTGGTGTGGGAAAAACAGGAAAACCTCTAACGACAAAACAAATGGAATCACATTTCATCGTTAATTAAATATTGAATATGTAATTTTTCAATTTTCGTCTATTATAGAAAGCTCATTTTAACCTGGTCGATTTGAAGTGAAACAATTGATGACACTCGTCAATTGTTCGATTTGGTCATCGGAGAGCAGTTGTTACCGTAATGATTTTAAAAATAGTTTTCACCTTTAGTTTGACCTGTGTGTACGTCTCCGTATATTCCAAAAATATTCTGTATTTATTGTAATAAAGATAGTATCTCTAGCACTAGCGTGCTGTTCTATTCCGTGTTGTGGGGAAAAACAGCAAAACATCTAATTACAAAACAAACGAAATCAAATTTCGTCGGTAATTAAATATTAAAAATTTTTGCAATTTTCGTCCCTTATATTATCAAAGTTCAAGTTAACTGGTCGATTTGCAGTGAAACAATTGACGACACCCGTCAATTGGTTCGAACTCGGGGTTAGCCAATCAGAGCGCAGTTGTCACGGTTATGATATGGCAGAATAGTTTTCAAACAAATTAAATGACATTTCGTCTCTATTTCTGGTTATATTCTCGATGACCCTCACCCACCGGTGCTGGCTCGTGGGATCCCGTTAATACTCGCCACTCACCCGGTGATGGTAGCACGCCCTCCCAATTGCTTCCGAGGTTACTACCGCTCCCTAGGACTCTTCAGCGCCTGCCGGGGGACGATAGAAACCACTTTGGGAAACTATGACCTACGGAGTAGTAGCACTTTGATAACATTATTTTTTTAAGTGCACGTAGTATTGGAAATTCACTATTTTTAAACACTACGAAATCGCGGAGTAAGGGAACAATAGATCCTTCCTGTAACGCGTCTTGGTCGCTTGAATTGTAATTTATATAAGTGACAACAAAACTTTGGACGTCATTATCTAGAAAGTTACCAGAATGCAAATGCATCAGTTACAACAAGGAGGGCAGCATAATGATGTCCTTGTTCTTCACTCACCATGGTCACATTAAAAATCGACCCCTCTTACATAATCTATAATATTAATAAGCCACAAAAAGTTACATTTATTTTTATCTACGAGTCTAGCTATTACACTTAGCGGTTAAATTACAAAGCATGAAAAATAATGAGTGTGTTATCAAATTTCGTTGTCGTGCCTTGAAATTTTCAGGTGTTATACTCAAGTTTAGTCCTTTTAAAACTTTAAAACGCTCTCCTGTGAAGTTGGGAATTTGAGATTAGGATTCTTTACGTAGGAGGGGCCCAAATGTTGTTCAAAATGCCGGCGACACGGTTAAAGTTTTACGAAAACTTCTGTACTTAAAAAGATTTGTTTATTTTTTACATTTTTGTTTCAGGATGATGACAGTATATTTTTTGATTGCGAACATCCAATGTCTGGATCCGAAATATCTGACTTATTAACTTCCAGAAGGTATATTTTATTAACTTACATAACTAACTTCACTTAAAAAACATTTTGATACCTTTAATGAAGACTACGCCTTTATTTTTTGGTAATTTTGTGTTATTTTTGAAAACAGCCATTTTTATTTACTAATATTATGCTCCCCGAATTTTGTGAAAAAAAATAAAGACACAAAAAACAAAATAAAAACAGAACAGGTCCAACATTAATGTTCATTGGGGGTATCGATTTATTTATTATAACTTAAGTAACTTATTTCACTAAGTAATTTAACTAAGTTAAGTGACTTCCACAACTAATTAACTTAAATAACGAACCTATATAACTATTTATTTAACTAACTTAGCTAAACAAATTAACTAATTAACTTAAGTAAGTAACTTGAATGACAGTTTAACTAGCTAACTTATCGAGTGAATAGTTAGCTAGTGAATAGTTATATTAGTTTTTATAAACAACAGCGTTTAGGGCACTTTACATGACAAGAATTAACCTACTACTTATATTAAATAACTAACTTGGAAACCAACTTAATTAACTATTTAAAATCTACTTGCAATTTTTTTAGGCGAGAAATTTTTGACGAAATTTTTTGTTATTCCGGGTTTTTTCCCAAAGAGCTGTATTAATCTATTTGCCCAATGCCCAAATACGTGGTAAGAAACGGCGAATACGTAATTTGGTATCAATTCCATACGATGTCGATGTAAATAGTACATTGTGTATTAAATAGGAAATTACTAACGAGGGTCTGTTATAAGTCCAAAGCCAAAGGCTGAGGGCTCTAATAACTCTAGTTTTGGAATTTTTTACAGTCCGTGATACATACGATGTTTTTCATCCCATTTACGAGGAAATAAATATAATATAAATATGGTTCACAACATAATAATTGTGGATTTTGCAAGTGGGGGGCTTTTTGTTGTTTTTTTTTTAATTTATTAAGGCTTTGGCAAAGCCATCAGCTTAAATATGAAGTTTAATTGTTTCTGTACATGTGGCCGCCACAAAGAGTATAGGCAATTTGAGGCGGCGTGCTTCGATTGACTCGGGATTCCTTAGAACGGGCCGATACGGGTATTTTAGTTTGAGATTCGTATAATTTCGCGTTTTAATCTTCGATTAAGGCACAATAGCACTATCCTGTTCCACTTTAAACTAGATTTCACAAAATAATTGAAAGTCAAAATAAAAACGACACTTTTCCCTCCAAAATGCCCAGAGCGAATCCGCTTTTTGTTGTTTTAAATTCTCCCACAGATATCACAAACTAAAATGTTGTAAAAAGTAAATACGCATACAGCCATGATGGATTGTAAAAGAAAAATTGCAAAATTTTTATACAGAAAACAATTAAAACCAATTACAAGACATTCTTAATAATTGAAGATTGTACAAGAAGTGCATAAAATGCGTCATTTTACCCCAGACGAGTATATCTACCCGAGCTGCAGGCGAATGTGGACTCTTAAGTTGAGGGTAAAAGGGGTTTTATGAACGAGTTTATAAACTCTGCTTTTCATTTCGATTGCGAGGAAATTGAACAGCAATATTACAAATAAACGATTATTTAATTAAAATTGAATGTAAAATTACAACAATTCGTGGCTGTTGGCGCAGGCGTCATTGCCTCGGTCTTAAACGACGATTTTATTTTATGCACTAGAGCATAAAATCCTGCCTATACCATATCTACGAACGTATATAGCATATATACGAACTTAAAGAGCATGAGAAGAGAAAAAGTATTTAAGTAGTTGTAATTTTGAACTTGGTCTTGCTTGAAGATGAACTTGACCTATGAAAGGAAGTATGTCGCGCTACAAATAAAAAAAAGGCTGGCTGAAACCATGGCTGATATGGAAAAAATATAAAGAAAAAAGTTCTGCTGGGTGTAGGCTACATAAAATAGGATTCTATGCTCTAGTGCATAAAGTGAAATCTTCGTTTAAGACCACGACAACCTGTCGCCAACAGCCACTCACACTAGAACTTTATAAAATAAAGTTAAATCCGTGTCATATTACAAAATTAACAAGAGTAGGTAATACTAATAATATAACTTAGAAATAGAAATGTATAAAAAAATCAAAGCTTGTAAAATTAAACTGAGCGTGTAGTTCGACCTGTTACATGTAGAAAAAAAAATAAAAAAGTACATTGGCCGGGAGTTTTTATTTTTTCTAGGCATTACGTAGTTGTGTTTGAAACTGTTTTACAATTCACGTTAAATAATGTAGTCGAGTAAAAAGGAAATTACCCTCCCATCTAACAGTTTAATGGAGAGGAATGCGAAAAACTTCGTAGAGCAGATATTGCCGCCAAAATCTAAGCTAATTCATCGATCGAGGATCGAGGATCGAGGATCGAAACACAAATGAATACATATCGAGTTCTTAGGTCAACCGTGACCATTGGACCTGTAAAGGCCTCGAAACGTTGGTTTGTTTGAAAAAAACAAATATTCACGATTTAAATTCGGAAAAATAGTTTCATTTCCTATGTGTAACAATCGCGAAAACCTAAGAACTCGATATGTTATTTGTCTTCTAATTATTGCTTTTTTATTACATTTTACTTTTGTTAAAAATGAGATTTGGGCTCTGGATGAAGAGGTCGCGGCTTTGGTTCCCGGTAGAAGCAATTTGGAAAATATTTTTTTCTAAATTGTTTCTGTTCTGAGTGTAATAGTTTCATTATAACTGAAAACGTTTTCGGAAAGTGTTTTCTTAACGTATTTCGATAAATTGTCCAAGAAATTTCATCACAAATAAAAAGTAATACAGTAAATATGCTAGGAAAGACCATCACATTAAATATAATCTAATTGTTCCAACGATATCTATGTACTACTGTACTAGATGCGGCGTTCAAGACACACGCTGTGTTTTACTGACATGCAGTGAAGACGCTGCATGTCATTAGTTGATTGTCAAACATTCAAGATGGCGGACGCACATGCGGTTATCTTTGAAAATTAATTTACATCGGTGTGTTGCCACGTTTCGCTATTTGACTAATTGTGTAATTTATAAACTATACAATAACAGGCGGCTGTCACCTTTTCCATCAAAATAAGGATGTGTCATCATATTATGAAGTGGATAAGGTGGAAGCCGTAGAATAATAACACATAGAAACCTCGCTCGCACACGCTAAGTGAGGCAAATTGAAGCGCGCCCAATGGGCCTACACGAGCGGGCGGGCCTTCAGTGCTCAAGGTCAACTTGCACCGAATTTTAGCTAAAAATGACGAAATGTGCGGTAAATGAGTGTAAAAATACGTCAGACAAACATAAAATAGATACTAACATCACATTCCACAAGGAAGTAACGCGTTTCAACTTGTATTTTTATATTAATATTCACTAAAACCGAAAATTAACCTACTACTAAAACTAGCTTACATGAATTTGATTTTTGCCTTACTTGTGACAGTGCGTTTGATATGAAACTATCATTCTATGCGTTATTATTCTAAGGTGGAAGCCTTACCTACCCAAATACATGGCGGAAAATTGATTTTTATAAAATTACTTCAATTTTGAATTCGTTATAATATTGTTCTAACAGAGGTATAATTTTTTTAAGAATATGTGCTAAATAGTACAATTTAGGTATATTTTTTTGGTCCATTGTATAGGGCCATTCTAACTCTCGTCTTGAGCCCACGACCATACTGCACCGTAGTATTGTTCTTACCAACTGACCTACGAGTCAAGTTATCGAGTTGTTGAAATTCTCCTACGTGTAATAATCAAAGATCTTTGTTCTGTATTTTTCGGCATTCTCAACCGCTAGTGACATCTAGTGAGAGATTTTAGAACCTTTTTTCGAAACTCGATTTACAACAAATATTTACTAGTAAATAGTTTCTGCCCCCGATATTGGGCATTAATCGGTATTAACCCAATTTAAACTATGTTTCTGACTAAGTTATGTAATTGAATTATACGCCGTATTATGCGCGTGTAACTGTACACAAGGACAAAGTTTTTGCACGTTCGCCCTAAATATCTTTTTCGTTCCACAGTCTCCTAACTTATTTCTACCCATCCCAACTCCTATTAAACAGCATAAGGCTGATCACCTCTCCGACCCCAGGGTCCTGTGGGGTGATCCTACCACCTCGTCAACTCCAGACAGGGAATCAGTTCAGCGTCAAGATTAAAGTTGAAGAGTTGGAGATCGGTGATGAGGAATACGTGAGGATGGTAAATGGACGGATCAGATTCGAATTGTTGTATTTTAGGTAAGTTCGTTTTTTAGTTGGCAGTTTTTGTTAAGCAAGTTTGGTAGAAGTTTCACAAGCTGTGGTAGCACAGTGGTTTGAACTACCACCTCTCAAGCAGAGGTCCTGGGTTCAAATCCGGGCTTGCACCTCTGAGCTTTAGGAATTTATATGCGAAATTTGATGTTTACCATGAACTTTTAAGTGAAAGAAAACTTTGTTTTTATAATATCAAGTAACTGTAGTAAGCGACACGCCTATCTATAACAGTTGCAGTGCCGTTCAGAGTTTTAAATTGCGAAGATCTTATGGGCAGTGTCACTGCGCCCGTCACCCTGAGACATAAGTTAACAAGACCCATGTGCCTGTAATTTCACCAGCACCCTTACCTTTCTAAA